CCACCTGCCTGTGGACGCACACACAGCCTCCCCGTGCCCCATGGGTTCCGTTCATGAGGTCCACCTGCCTGTGGACGCACACACAGCCTCCCTGTGCCCCATGGGTTCCGTTCATGAGGTCCACCTGCCTGTGGACACGCACAGCCTCCCTGTGCCCCATGGGTTCTGTTCATGAGGTCCACCTACCAGTGGACACACACACAGCCTCCCCGTGCCCCATGGGTGCTGTTCATAAGGGCCGCCTGCCTGCAGACACACACACAGCCTCCGCGTGCCCCATGGGTTCCGTTCATGAGGGCTGTCTGCCTGAACCACCTTCTACAGGTGGAGGGGCTGACACCCCCTACCAGGGCTCAGATTGCCTCCGCAGGATGGACAGGAGAATGAGGCAGGACAGATTTCCTCAGTCACAGGGGAGTGGGGCATTTCCCTGCATTTGGTCGGCTACTGAGAACATAATCATTGTGCTACTCAGGATCTTTTCTCACGACAATGTTGTTGTTCTACGCTGTCAAGTCAGAAGAGACTCTTAGCAGGCCCTCCAGCAGGTTTTCAGGGGCAGTAAATCACACAGGAGGAGGACTGCCCATCTTTCTCCCTTGGAGCGGCTGGAGGATTTGAACTTCCTACCTTCAGGTTGGCACGCTGTGCATCTGACACTAAGTGAAATCCTCCTCTGCTCTGTGGCATTTAACCTTCACAGCCCCGCCGTGAGCCATGCTACTACCACCCTGACTTCACAGATGTAGAAACTGAAGTACAGATCGGATAAGGCACACCAGAAGGGTTCACACCATGAAGACTGGAGCTGGTTTTGGATAATCATTTAAGTGTTCTCTGCTGGGTCCTGTTGGAGAGAGGGGAATAAGGGTGAAAAAGGGCCCAAGACAAAAGTTGATAGCTTTTAATCAAGTGCATCATGTGTCAGTTCTTATATCTGATTGGCTGCAAAAGATCTACAGAGCGCTCAAATCCCCCCTCCATTCATATTGACCTTATTAAGTTTAGAAAAATCTCAAAAGTTCTTTTGGGATCATTCACAAATCAGAACAGAGAGGAACTGAAGCAGAGACACTGTGGCACACAATCTTCGGGGGAAACATGTAAGAAATGATGAAACATTCATAAACAAATTAAAAAAACTTATAAAACATTAATCTTCCCTCTAACACAATTATGTGATCAAAATGACAATGACATGTTTTGAAGTGATATATGTTGTTAAGTGGTGTCCACTCAATTTTGAGTCACAGTGACCCCACGTGGCAGAGTAGAACTGTCCCAAAGGGTCTGCTTGGCTGTGATCTTCATAGGACCACGCTGGCAGGTCTTTTCCCCTGGGAGGATTTGAACCTCCAATCTTTCGTTGATCAGCAGAGCGCTCAATCGTAACATCACCAGGACTCTTGAAAAGTCACAGAGGTAATGACCAAAAGCAGCCAGCCACAACTCGGTTCGGCATTGCTAGAAGTCTGCCTGAGTGGTGGACGTTTATATCATTAGCACAGCAAATCACACTATCCCTTCAAAAGTTTCGTTCTTTGGCTAACATGAGCTCTAACTGGCATTTTTATTATGGTAGCAACACATAATCCAACAGCATTATTTATTAAATAAACTTAGCATATCCCAATGGCCTGAAGACATCGATACCAAGTCCCTAGTATCTGTCTCTCTATCTTGACAAAATCTAACCCAATCCTTGAGGTATCATCAATTAATGCAAAGTACAGTACATGAGTCTGGTTTCCATCTGTGCAAACATCGTCATACCTGGGAACCCCCGCAAACACTGCATTAAATATTTTTCCTTTTGCTAGGGGGAATAAAAGGCACAGCAGTAAAATAGACATCTTGATAGAAAAATATCGCAAGGTTTTAACATAGTACCAAAAGTTAACATTTTGTGATTATTCCTTTACAAAAGAGTGTCTTTTGGAAGTTTTGACATTTTAAAGATCACAGAACAAAGCTTATTCATATTTTCACCAAAACCAACATCATTTGCATAAACTGCAGAGTGAGCTCCTTACAAACGTGGAGCAGCCAGGTTTTGGTTGGACCCAGTCAGTCACTGCCCTGAAAAAGAGTCTCCACTGGACACAGAATCCATGATCAAATAGTCTCCTCTGATGAGCTCCCTGACATGGTGACATTCTAGGCCATGCGCTCCTTGAAGAACCACTTCTGGTTTTCTGAGTTGGTGCAGTCCCGTAAAAGTGGCATGAAAATGTCACTAAGAGGTTTCCTCTCAGCCTGAACGCATTTCTTGGTCTGGACGTGAAATATAGAACCATCCTACAAAACACAATAGACAGTGTCTTCTTAGCAGAAAGACAAATCACCCTTCCGAAAAACGTGTTTCTCCTTATAACACGCTCTTAAGCACTCAGGGATTGAGTGGGGTTACTTTAGAAGTACAATCTGCACTGAACAGAGACAGCTTCCAATCCAAGTATCACTGAGCCAGCTTCAACTCATGGCGACTCCAGTGTGTCAGAGCAGAACTCTGCATCCCAGGGTTTGCAAGGGCTGATTTTTTGGACAGTAGGTCACGTCCTCTGTGTTACCTCTATGTGGACGAGAACCTCCAACCTATCAGCTAGCAATGAGCACTGGTAGTGTTAGCCTAAAAAATGGTGTGCGTTTTTTGGGTGGTTTTTGTTTGTTTGTTTGTTTGTTTTAGCGATTTAGCCTCTGATCTCCAGCTACCTTAATCACAGGAACATGGTCTTGCAAACCAGCATCAACTGTGGGACTAAGATAAGAGAAAGACTACTTCCCACACTGAACACAAGATTTGAGGCAAGCAAGGCTTGTGGCTGCAAGACCCGGGTAAGAGCAAGACTCTTGTGGTGGAGAGACTGGCAATGCTATGGACAAATGGTGACAAGGTGTGACCTGAGATTTATTGCATTTGTGCTGGCCACAGTTAAAGTTTTGGCTGTTCTTGCCAGATGTCTGAAGGAGAAGCTGACTTACTTATAAATGATCTGAGGCAAACCTTGTTGGATGATTTGGATTTGACTGCTGAGCTTAAATCACACCCTGCTCTTATTGAGGATTGTGCCTTGAACTGTCAGACTAAAGCCTGGACTTGTGTTGTGAGATATTACTTGCCTCCCTGACTCACTTGCCTGTTAAACCCCATTGGTGGTACCATAACTGTAAGTCTGTGAGTGAGCGATGAATAAACAAACCTCTATTGCTGGGGCTCTAGAGGCACCACGGGGCTGGACTACAGGTTCTTTATCTGCTTTCTGCTCTGGGCAGTGAGGGGCTGTGCTGTTCTTACTCGCTCTGGCCCTTTCAGAAAGACGCTCATAGCCCTGTATACCTATGTCCTGTTTCCTCCTTTTTAGAGAGCACTTTAATAGTTTGCAAATGAGGCTCAGAGAAGCGGAGGAAATGATCCCTGTATCTGACATCACATCAAAACCTTGCTCCAAACCCCGTACCCTCCTCACAGTCTCTGGCATGCTCACACCCACTGTGTAAATCCATCTCGCTGAGGGCCTTCCTTGCTTTCCACCTACCCTCTACTTTTCCCACCATGGTGTCTTTTTCCCAGGACTGGCACCTCCTTCATGGGACCACCATGAGTCACAGTTGACTCAACAGGACCTGTCAACCACCACCTCACATCCTCACATTCAGATTATTTGTTTTACTCTTTTGAAACCTATTTCATTATTGGAAGCATTTGCTTACATTATAACCCACCACAGATGAAGGCAAGGGATACAGAACAGCCTGGGAGGGAGTACACAGGGAGGAGAGAGGCTTTCCTGAGTCTGGAGGCCGTGAGATGCTAACATCACTGCCCACTCGGCTCACTAGAGGCTCCTAGGACTTGCCACACATCACACAAGCACACCACGTTTAACGGTACTTTGCTCTATTGTGTGTCATAGTTACTGCATTTTTTTAAAAAACAAACAGAACATTTGTGGCACCTTGCTTCATATACAAGTCTATCAGCACCATTTTCCAACAGCACATGCTCACATGTTGATAAGTCTCTGTCTCATTTGAATAATTTAGACAGTATTTTTCCCACTGTGATAGTACATTCAACAGACCATAGTATCCTTGTTGTTGAGTACTGTCAAGTCAGAAATGACTTATCCTCAAGCAGGTTTTCAGAGGCCATAATCTGCACAGGAGGGAACAGACCATTCTCCTGTGCAGCAGCTGGTGAATTCAAACGGTATACCTTGACGTTAGCAGTGCAATCCCTTACCACTAAACCACCAGTACATAATTTTTCTATGTACTGGGAAATCAGAAATATGTGTCTGGTTTTCTTGCGATAGTTGCTTTACTACAGCGGCCTGGGATGGCACCTGTAACACCTCCAAGGTCTGTCGGGGCATGGCCTCCTCTCTCGGATGTGCTCACACAGCTCAGAGGCCAGCTGACTCTCACACATCCCTCCACAGCCTTGGGGGATGACTGCAGGAAGCAATGGTGTCCCTCACTCACCTCCTGCAGGATGAACTTCTGCTCCTCGGGGGGTGTATCCTTGCATAACTCCATAAGGAGACTATCTGATCCTGTGGCCACGGATACGCAGGACTCTGGTTGTTGGGTGTTGTAGCGTATTTCATTCTGAGATGTGTACTCAAAAAACTGAAAAGGGAACAGCCAATACAATAACATTACCCTCTGACGCTGAAAGAGGAAACTATTGGACGAGAAGCTGGGACCACTGAATGTGGGACCTAGGACCAGACAGTGTCCCCTCACCCCAACCCTGCATAAGTCAGTCTGAACCAATGGCCTCCTCCATGGTTGCACAGAGTTCTGATGATAGGTGCCCGTGAGTCACAACAACTGCGTGTGCCAGAGTCAAACCGCCTCGTGGGGATTCCAAGGCTGTATTCTTTAAGCGAATGAGACCTGGCCTTCTATCTCAGGTGCTATGAGGTCAAAGGTTTGAATCCACCAGGAGCTCCATGGGAGAAAGATTAGCAATCTCCTATCATAAAGATTTACCCCCTGGAAAGCCAATGTAGGAGCACAGGGGTACCACGAGTCACAGCTGACTTGAGGGCAGTGGTTTGGGGGTACAGCAGATTGCTGGGTCCTTCTCTTGCAGAGTTGCCGATGGGTTCAAACCACCAACCTTTTGGCTATCAACCAAGTGATTAAACACTGACCACCAGGCTCCTTTCACAGCAATTTGTTGGTGTTACATGCTGCTGATTCACAGCATCCCTGTGAGAGGGAGGGGAGGCGCCCACAGAGTAACCAAGCTGTCACCTTGGGATCACTGACATTTCGGTTAGCAATCAAGAGCCTCACCACTGTGCCACCACGGCTCCTCCCCGGCCCTCCAGACCACCTCTGCTGGAGAGCTGAGCAAGCGCGATACTGTCTCTCTCACTGGTCTGTGAGGCCTGGGCCTGTGCTGTGTCTGCCTCATTCCCTCTGCATCTAACCAACCCCGTGCCAGCACGGAACAGCAGGCTAAGAAGTCAGGGCAGTCCCAGCACCGGCAGCTGGGAGCCCCCGGTGGCTTTGACCAGCCTCTCCTTTCCCTCAGTCTCTCCCCACCGTGCTAAAAACAATGATGTGACAGTGAGTGCCTTGCAGACGGTCAAGTGCCATGCACAAGGAGACCCCAAAATCAAGACGTCAGGAATGATATTCCTTAAGGACTTCTAATAGCATAAATACATCAAAATACATGGAAACAATGGAATGTAAAGCACATAGAGATTATGACAATGGTTTAAAACATTATGTAAAATCTGTTCCTTTAAAAGATGAGAATAAATGATATCTGTGGCATCATGGGGGTGCTCCAGGTTCTGGGACCCAGTTCCTTTTCTACTTTTTCTATTTCCCAAATGTTTCTGTAATGAGCATGTATTATTTTTGTAATGAAAAACTTAACACCAAATATTTCATTGAAGAAAAGCCATGTAGCTTTCCTCTTCACCTTCCTCTTTGGAGATCGTGCTGAGAATTCACTGGACACTGAGCCCCCTGGATACCCCTCAGCGGAATAGGTGAGACCAAGAAGCAGTGGACCCACCTGGTTCTGGCCCATGCCGTGACAGTGGTACAAAGTGACATGGTGGTCAAAGTCTTGGTTTTCACTGGACGGGTTGTAGTCAAAGCAATATTCTTTTAGTCCTTTGTTCTGCAGCTATATTAATAATAATAATAATAATAATTTTAAAAATAGCATTAGTAATGCATTTTATTTAACTCCATTTATCCTAGGTGCTATTTCAACATGTACTTAAGAAAATTAAAGACTTGGCAGTGTAATGATTATGAGCTTGGGTGCTAGTCAAAAAGGTTGATGGTTTGAACCCACCCAGTGGAGACCTTTTTTCCATAAAGATTAAAGCCAAATGAAACCTATGGAACAGTTCAACTTTGTCACACGGGGTCACTGTAAGTAGGAATTGAAAAAACAACAACCAGAAAGTCAGAAATTATCTTTATTGCCTACATCTTCATTTTCTTGGACAGTAAGATAGAAAGATGACATCCAATAGCAAGAAGAGCACTAGCATCAGACTGTACACACTGAGTATCATTCCCCACTAAAAGGACAAGAGCATCTTGAGGCAGCAGCAAAGGACATGTCAGTGAGCACAGGGCAAGGTGGTTGGAAATCAAAGAAGTTACTTAAGCCCTTAACATGGGATCAAAGTCACAGAAGGCAACATGAAGAGGCTGCCAATGGCCAAAGACAAGGCAATTAGAACATCGAAACAAAACAACAGACTGAACTGATTGAAACACATTGATCACAGTAAAACTTATGAACAGACAAGGATACATAAAAAAAAAAAAAAAGAAAAAAAGCAAGGGAGTCAACAAATGAAAAAAACAACCAGACGCAACTTGAGGAAACTCAACAACTTTCATTCTGAAAACAGGCGAATTAAGAGAAACACTTAAGAATGTGTAAGGCCTTTCCTATATAAATTCTTAATTTCATGGTTAATAAATTGCCTCAGTTAATGAGGAACTGTTCTTCCTTACAAAAGAATCCCAGTAAATAAATGTGGAAGAAATTAAAGAATTGGAAAAGTCATCATTTGGCAACTCCATCTGGAAGTAATGGATCCAGGCAGTGACCGCCAGTGTCTACTGAACACATTACATGGAAGGCTGATGGCAAACTTTACAGTGGACGGTCCTGGCTGATGCTTCCTGAACCCTCTAATCAATCTTATTAATAAATCAGGTTGACCAGATATTACCTGTTTCCATATGACACAGCACAAACACAAAGTACCACCCACAAAGTGCTTTTTAAAAAAAAAGTCATCTTTTTATTAAATTTTTACTTTATATTGGCTTGCATACAAGGTTCACGTACATTGTGTTTCACATTATCCTTCCTTCACAACCACAAAGTATTCTTGCCTGACTTTAATCAAGCCTTCAGACCTGACTTCTTTCTTAAAGAAACAGGAGGAGAGGTGCAAGCTAAAAGGGACCACGGAGAAACAAATCTGTAATTCCAAAGGTATGTCTTTGTGCCATAGGGTACAACAGAATTCAACAAGTCAGTAGCACTGCAAAAGGTAAAGAGGAGAGGAAGACTTTAGGAGACACAAAAACAAAAGTGACTCTAACAATCAAACATAATGCTTGTGCCTTTCTTAGATGCCAATTCAAATTAGTCAACTACCGAAAGTTATTTCTGAAAAATCGAGAGAATGTCAACGAGGCTTATAGAGTCACAATATCAAGAAATTATTATCCTTGGATTAGGTATGATAATGACTCTACTAGTAATTTTGGAAGAAAATGTCCACATATTACACAGTTATGCATCCTAAAGTGTACAGCAGTGAAATGACATGATATTTAAGATTTGCCCCAAAAAGGAAAAGAATACAAGAGGATGGCATAAAGAAGAGAGAAAGTGAGAGTGGCAAAACCTGGCTAATTCAAGAATCTCAGGGGTAGGAGTCATTCTACAAAACTGTCTGCATTTGTTTGTGTTGAGTAATGAATACAGAATTTAGTGCATTACTGTCCTGTTTTGCATCTATCAATGACATTCAATCAAAAAAGGAAGCCAGTACTTCTGATCAGCAGGACATGGCAGAGCAAATCCAAGCAAAGCAAACAACACTGGACATTTTGGTTGTTCTCATCCAGGGATACTGCTTTTATGGGTTTTTTTAAAGGCTAGAAATAACCCCTTTATTCCCCACTCCTCTGGTGGCTTCGTGGTAAAAAGCTGCACTGCCAACCCAAAGGCTGGCAGTTTGAATCCACTAGCTGTTCCATGGGAGAAAGATGGACACTCTCCTCTTGTGAGATTTACTGCCTCTGAAAACCCACTGGAGGGTCAGCTATTGATTCTGAATCAATGGTACCAAGCATCTTCACTCCAGGGACCTCTGGTGTCCTGATTCATAGGCCACAACTCTCTGGCAGTTCAAATCCAGCAGTCACTCCAAAGGAGAAAGATGGACAATCTTAGCCCATTGTGGTTTACGGTCTCAAGAAGTCCCAGTGGAGGTCAGCTATGAGGCAGTTACAACTTCACAACAATAAGACAGTGAGAGATGCTTGCTCTGCCCTCATAGATACCAGAGCTATTAACTGATAACTATTAACTATTAACTGACCCGGCTATTGAGACTAGAAGTAATGTGATGATGTATCACGGAGACACAGAGAAGGAGAATGCCACGCACTCCTCGATTTCCTCATTCATAAAGGGAGTAGGTTCACATTTATCAATTCTAGACTTGAAGTTCGGCCACTCCAGGAGAAGGAAGAAAAGCAGATGAAAGAGGGAAGGCCAGAGAGTAGACAGCAGCACTGACAAAGGGCCTTTATTGCCCAGAATTTGTCACACAGACCAGAGGACATCCAGTCCCCCACAGCCTCACTTACCATCCCGAAGAAGCCAGGTCTGTCTTCAGGCACATGTAGTTCTGGATACACCGTATCCAAGAACCACCGGAAGTCCTTGCATCGCAGCTTTATGCGAAGGTCTCTCCTATCGGTCACATCTCCATAAGGCTCCTGGGAAAACAGCACAACGGCGAGGCCTGGCTGGTCACAGCATCTCCCAGCAAAGCGCTCTCCTCAATGATGCTTACCCATATGTTCATCAACAAGCTTTTATGCAGCTCTGCTCCGGGTAGAAGAAAGAGGGTCCAAAACCACCCTAGCCCTAGTTGCAGCACTCTTGTAAGGGAGTCAAGCACAGGGTCAGCCACTCTCCCGGGTGTTCTCGCTACTGGAGGGTGTGACCAGGTGTGCAAGGAAAGAGGGTCGTGTACCTGCTGATGGGGTAACCAAGCCCCGGGGTGGCACAGACACCCTGCATGTCTGCATCCTCATGAACATGGGATCTGAGGTCAGCCTGAAGCTCTGCTGGCAAAACATCAGTCATGTGCACCTGCCACGGCTTTCCGAGGGACTCCTAACATCTCAGCGTTCACTCCCAAACACAGGTACGCTTTCTAGAAAGATCCAGGCGAGGAAAACCTCAGCTGTTCAATATATTGAAACAGAAACTTATACTGATGGTGGGAAGAGCAGAGTGCTGCAGTAATAAATATTTGCGACATTGACACATGGACAGATAAATATTTGCAGACACTGAGACATGGACAGAACCAGTGATAAGAAAGTTTTAAGGAATTAAATCAAGTGTCTATTTCATAAGGTAAAAAAGGCAGCTACAAGAATATTAACTGTGGGGTGGGCAGGGAGAAAAGTGCAACAATGAATGAATGGAAATCCAAAATCTCTAAACTTTCATGAGCAGCTGAGTATATAACAAAATGGCAATACTAAACTATTTTCATAAACTTTCCCATTTCTGCTTATCTCCTAGATGATCCCCACGTACTGAGAATCACCACATCCTCAGCTGCAGCTCCAGAAGGGTTTTAACACGATCACTGTGCATTCAGGCAAAAGGTATACCTGGTGACCTCCTTTTGAACTGTCAGTAACACGAATTAAAGGGCTCCAGACAAGTTTCCAAAAAAAAAAAACAACAGAATCATCTTGGGAAAAGTGCAGCCACAGGGCTGTCTGGAGGAAAGGATGGTGAAGCTTCACCTCAAATTCTCTGGGCATGCTGCTAGGAGAGGCTGTTCCTTGGAAAGCAGCATCAGGCTTGGGAAGGCAGAAGGCCAGCAAGAGAGGAAGAGTCTCAATGAGAGGACTGACACGATGACGGTGGCCATGGGCTCAAGTGTGCCAGAGGTGAAGAGGATGGCACAGGATAGGACGGGGCTTAGGTCTGTTGTTCACAGGGTCGCTGTGAGTCCAATTCAACTTGACATCACCCAACAACGACAAGAGACAAGGGGACAGAGATGAGCAGGTGTTCCCACACACAGCCTTAAATAGAAGACACTGAAGTAAATGACACTGAGCTCCAGAGAAAGGGGGAGTCAGCGGCTGGGGGGTGGGTTGTGCAGGGTGAGAGGCTGTGAGTCAGGTCATCAGGGCAGGCACACTGCAGTGGACAGGCGGAGGCTGAGTTCTACCCACGTCAGCCACAGGCCTTTGGGCAATCTCTCTTGCTCTGAGCCTTGGTTTTCTGAACCATAAGATAAGAACTTTCAAGTTACCCTGCAAAGCTGTTGTAAGGATTCAGGAAAGAGATTGTCATTAAACGGTCATGAGAGAGATCTTGGAGTGAACCTCTTAGCCTGGGATGTGGCTCTCTTAGTTATGCAAATGTAGGCAATGGGGTGCCCCTTCTGAGGACAGTGGCCCTGGCAGGCACAGCGGCACCATGCAGGGGTAGAAGACTAAAGTGCATCTGAAGTCCAAGGCCTCTTCGGGGGTAAAAAAGAGTGGGTCATTCCATAGTGCCCCCATATCAGAGACAGAACAAGATTCTTGGGTCGAGAAGCACATCAAGTCACTGAGAGATGGGCCTGAGCAAAGCCAAGGGCTTTCCGGTCCTTTCTTCATGAATGCCCACTTACTGTCTATTTCTGGAATTAGTCACTAGGACGGGGAGGCCAGGATTAGTGGTTTTGTCCAGACCAGCCCAGGTGGACCACGCTGAGGGTGGGAGTTGGGGGCTCACCAGGCGGGCGTGGGGGTTACGATGGTAGTAGAGCTCTTTGTATTCATCCATCCACACTTCGGCTGCACGGACACTGTTGGCCAGGGCCTTGTTGCGGGAGTAGGGAGCTTTCTTGGGGAAAACATGGCCAACGTGAGAACATGGGTGTATCTCCAGGCTCCCACCGCACTGCCAGATCTGCACATGGAACAGAGAGAGAGAGACCAAGCTGAGTGGAGACGAGGAGACTGGATCCAGGACAAGTCACAGCGACCACCTCCAAAGGGTGCACACTCCATAGACAGGAGGCCACCCACCCAGGACACTCAGAGGTCCAACGCCAAGAGAGGAGCCCCGAAGACCTCGACACTGTAGAAACCAGCGGCCGAGCCCATGCACCGAAAAGCTCATGCACTGGGCCCACAGGAGGGGCCTCACTCGGGACCCACTTACTGTTAATGTGCAACACGGGCTTGGTTACCTGATCTCCTAGCCACAGAGGATAGGAAAACAGCAAGTAAGAAGAGAGCTTTGGAAGGGGGAGAAGGAAGAGCTTCTAGAGGTCACCTAGAGAAGAGGCAGAAAGACCATTAAAAGCACACCCTACAACGCCACCAGAATTCAGGGCCGCAGCTCAGTCTAGGGCAAAAGGCTGTGGCTTTCTCACTATCCCAAAGACAGTGCAACCAAGCACAGCATCTGGAAGTCATCACAGAGAGCTTGGGTCCTCAGTGGAAAGCCAAATTCTTGTTTATTCATGTCTTTATGAGGGCAGGAAACCATGTAAAATGTTACTGAAAATGTTCATTTTCTATTGAGAAGCATGAACATTTACCAACGGTTTTGACACTTAAGACGTAATATCTCACTGACCGGAAGATCCACAGAAAGACTAGAGGTTTCTCAAAGAAGGACCCGTGGACCCAGTCCACTAGAATCTGTAGGTGGGCTTGTTACAAAAAGCAGATCGCTGGGCCCCAAAGCTGAATCTATCCAATCTGGACATCCGCCTTCATAACAAGTTTCCTAATGATTCTTAGATGTGTCAGAGTTTGGAAGTCACTCTGTTAAACAAAGAGGCATTTCCTAAGTACAAGGATACCTCAGAGATCATTTCAGACTCCATTAAAGGACTGGGGAAAAGCAAATATCACAATAAAACAAAAAAAATATGCAGGGTTTTTTCTTTTTTTTTCTTTTTTGTTTCTTTTGTGTTTCTCAGTACATTTAAAAGTTATGCTCCTTTTGTACTACAGTGTATTAAATGAGCAGTGGCATTATGAAAAAAATGTGAAATATTGTGAAAATTACCAAAATGTGACGCAGAGATAGAAAGCGAGCAAATGCTGTTGGGAAAAAAACAACAATAAACAGAGTTGTCATAAACCTTCAGTTTATAAAAAACCCACTATCTTGTGAAGCACAATAAAACAAAGTGTGCTTGGAGTTGAATAAAAGGCGACTCCAGAATACAGTATTAGGAAAGAGGGCTCTGCATTTTAGTCCATCTCTGCTGTCAACACACCGTGTGACCCTTCACCAGTGCCCTGTGCTCTCTGAGCATCAGTCCTCTCCTCTGTAGAAGGAAGGGAGGTGACTTTCAAGGCCTTTAGTGGCCCCAAATTTGTCAAAAGTGCATTGTTAAAAAGCTGAGCCAAGAACCCAAGCATGTCTTTACTGTGGATGCCATTATACCCTTCAGTATCAGTGAACCAACTCCTGCAGGAAAGAGGAGATGCCACCCCGCTTTCGTAACAAATCATCCCAAATACAGCAGATGTCACCCAGCTTTCATAGCAAATCCCCATCACCCCAAACAAAGCAGAAGGGAGATGACAGATCGAGCAGGGGTCCACAAAGGAAGACAAGAATACTCACTCTGAAGGAGAACTCGATGTTTTCTCCTCCCCAAACTTCCATTCCTGTATCATAAGACCCGAGATACTCAAAATACTTCTTACTCACAGCAAACAGCCCACCAGCCATTGTTGGAGACCTGGAAGAGTGTGGGGGCCCATGTTTCAAACGCAAGTGTAAGAAAACCCTCAGAGTTCGCTGCACTGTCTTCAGCCACAAGCTCTGTATTCTGTGCACCTGTCTCTCACCTCCCCGAGGGCCTACTCTGTGCCAGGTGCTATGCTGAGGCTGGAGACAGAGACAACCCCCAGTCCCTGTGTTAAGGAAGCCACTAGAAGAAGGACAAGGGCAACAGGACAAATGCCTTACCTGAGGTCAATATGGGGGCTGTGGGGACTAAAACGACAGGTAAAGAGAGGTCAGGGCTAAGCTTTCTGGAGCAGCTGAGGATGGGACAATGAAGGGTACTTAAGAAGAGGTATGGAAATGAGACTCTAAAAAGACAGACCAGCAAAGGAAATGTTCTTGCTGGACGCCACTGAGTACCACTCATAGCGACCGCATGAACAACAGATCTGAACCCTGTCCTGTGCCATCCTCAGAATCTCTGACCCACTCAAGCCCACTGCTGCAGTCTGTCAATCAATTTGGTTGAGAGTCTTCCACTCTTTCACCATCCCTCCACCTTCCCAAGCACAATGTCCCTCTCTAAGGAATAGCCTCTCCTAGCAACATGCCCAAAGCACATGAGACGAAGCTTCACAATCTTTGCCTCCAAGGAGCACTCTGGCTGCACCTTCTCCAAACATATTTATTTGTTCTTTTGGCAGTCCATGGGATACTCAGCACTCTTCTCTAACACCAAAGTTCAAAGGCATCAATTCTTCTTTTCTTAAAATATTTTTTCTTTTAAAACCTATTTTTATTAAAGATTGAGACATTGACTTTTATTTTTAGATTTTAATGTTCAAAGTTCATCAAAGAAGTGAAGCTGGAAAAGTAAAATATGCATAAGCAGGACTGTCAGCACAGAAGGAACTCAATTTTTTTCAACTGCTTTGTACTGCAGAAATTTTAATACTGCAAAGTCAAACTTAGGAAGTTTAATTTTATAGATGACCTCTATTCTGCAGTCACCCCAGCTGTCCGACTCCTCACAGCACACTATTACAAGCTATTCTCATATTTGAACACTTTATATTAAACATTTATAGATCAAAGCAATAGACCGACAGACATCAATTCTTTTTCTATCATCCTTAGCCATCAAACTGGTATCACTGCTCCTCAATAATCGGGAGAAAGTGAGGTCATGTGCCCCTAAAGCATGACAGAGGTGGAGCTGTAGAGGCTGTGGCCAAGCTCAGGAACCCTGATTCTGTAGGCGAGCACTCACAGACGTAACTCAGAGGCCCGGCAGCTAAAGATCACTAAGGGCAAGTTTGGTTCTAAGGTTCCCTGAAAGTCAGTTCCCCTCCTGCTTGAGGCTGCCTCCGCAGGACCTGGAGACAGCCAGTGCTGGCCGTGTTTCCTCCCTCCTGGCTTTATGAGAGTCACGGCTCCTCTTACCACACAGAGAACTAGCTGCAGGGTGGCACACCACCGAGATGTGGGCGCAAAAAAGTTTGAGCATGACATGGGTAGGAAGATAACATCAAGAGCTTGAAAGCTTAAAATATTTAAATTCCTCCAGCCACTCTCTGGGCTGTGATAAAGTATTAGCTTTATCTGCATACCAAGCTCTGAGCCAAAAGAGAGCTAGGCAGTAGCATTCTTCTTGTGAATTTTATCCTTATGATTTATCCCTAAAATTTTATCTTTAAACTCTAGGAAGTAGGTGGTGGATATGATCATGTCTATTTCATAGATGTGCAAACTGAGGCCCAGGGTTGTCATTATGGGAAGGAAAGGATACTGGCCACCCTGTCTCTGAGCACATGTACAGAGGAATGGGGTAATGGCTGTCTCATGTACGCAAGATAGGCTGGATCTGTGACCTTGTATAAGAACCTCTTCTTCTGTGCCTCAGTTTCCAAATCTGTTCAGTGAGGTACTGGACAGGATGATTTGGAAGAGCTCCTACAGAAGCCAGGCTTCATCTTTAATTCCTCTTTCCCTGACTCCCCATCCAGTTTCTCCCAATTCTTCCACCTGAACTTCTCTGGAATCCACCATTTCCCTCTATCTTCTCCTCTATCATCTAGTCTAGGCTGCTACTGTTTCTGGATAACTCAATCTGAATGACTCAAAGCTTCCCACTGGGGTCTCGACCCACAGCCCTGCTTCTTCCAGGCCCTGCACCTGGCATCCAGCACTAATTTTAAAGAAAGCAACATACTCAGATCCCTTCCTGCTCAGATCCTCACTCTGGCTTCCACTGTCTCCCATGGCTTGGCCTTGCCCACTTCTGCAGCCTGCACACCATTCACTCATTCACCTCTGGCCATGAGAGGGTCATCTCACCGTCAGGACCCAGAAGAAGTACTCAGGGCCCAACTGCCAAATGCTGAATGCAGTTCTAAGCCACCATCACCAGTTCCAAACACCAGCAATGAAGCTCAAACCTTGACTTCCACCTATCTGGCTCTTCTCCCTCCCAAATGCCTCTGAATTTGGAAGACAGACAAGAAAGGCCTGCAACATCTTAATAATGAGAGCAACTGACCCTCTTCTGCTCTGACCCAGACGCTCCAACTAGCCAGAACTGGATCTTCCCCCTAGGTCCATCACTCCCATTCAAAGGACCCACAAGTCAGCCAGGCTCCATGAGGCACATGCGAAGACGAATCACCTAGAAGTTGACCTCTGACCTGATGACATCGATGGGGGACTTCATTCGTATCCTCTCCCGCTCGGGCACCACGTGCCACGTGAACACCAGTCTCCAGTCGAAGCCACCGATCTGGGGCTCTCCGGCATTCCCCAGGTACTCGAAGGTGTCCCAGGTGATCACATCAATGACTGGGCACACCACTGCAGACTCTTCCTCGTAGATCCTGAAAGCACCCAGGATACAGTGTCTTTCCAGGTGGATGGTCAGAGGGACAACAACTGGAAAATTCGAGCATGGGTTTTCCTCACCCTTTAAAGTAGGAAGGAATAGGACCTAGCCAAGAAACACCTTGTTATCCCAGGTGTCTGTAAACGGGCAGGGGGGGAACCATTTCGGCCTCAGTCTGAAAAACCCTAGCCTCAATCAATATACCTGAACTCCTCTCCAAAAGTCAAGACATGCAAAAATAAAAGCAGCTTTTCCAAATAGAAAGCAGGTTTTCCACTACTCAGGATAAAGTTATTCACTCACAGTGGACCATCTTTTTTTCTTTTTAATAGTGTACCATCTTAAAGTCAAGAAATAATTTCCTCTGTAAGAACAGAGGTGCACTAAGACCCAAGGGTCAGCTCTGAAGTTAAACCTTATTTGCTATGTGACATTAGCTAAGTCATTCTGGGTTCTGCTTAAAGAAAACACACCAAGATGTGTGTTTTCTAGGGCTGTGAGTCACACAATTGACAGTGTTTTTCGTTGTTGTCCCTTCTAAGTTTCTACAATCTCTCTTTCATTGCTGTTGAGTTGGAACTGACTCACAGCCCACCCACCAGTGGCTTTCAATGGCTGTAAATCCCATATGAGGAGACTTCAACTTCCCATCGTTCTCCCACAGAGGCGCTAAAACATCCGAAAGGTGTGGCCTTTGGGTTAGCAGAGAAACTACCTCCAACTTCACCACCGGAGCACCCTACAGTAAACCTGTATAATATACAACAGGACAGCAAGCACACAGTGCCTTCCAGATGCTGGTATGTTCTAAGCACTTCACGTTAAATCAGTCAGTGGTCCCAAGAGGAAATGAAGTGGCTCCATCATGACTCCACAGAGTACTTGCCCCATGGAGTATCTGAACTCAGGGAGTATTTGAATCCAAGAAGTACTGAGCCCCAGAAGCATCTAAACCCAAGGAGTATCTGAACCGGGTGCTTGGGGCCCCAAAAGTGTCCCTATAGAACCACTGCCTGAGTGTCAATGATGTTGTTTGTTGTTATGTGCTGTCGAACTGCTTGCAAGTCAAAGTGAACCCATGTACAACAGCCCTAAACCCTGCTCTATCCTGTGCCAACCTTATTGTCTCTGACACACCTACCCCCATTACACCAGTCACTGAGTCAATCTATTTCATCAAGGGTCTTCCTCTCTTGCACTGTCCCTTCACCCTCCCAATATGATGTTCCTCTTCATGGACTGGTCCCTCCTTGCAACATGTCCAAAGCATGTCAGATGGAGCATATCAGAATCCTTCCCTCCAAGGAGCAGCTTGGTTTCATCCTCTCTAGGATGAACCTCTTTGTTCTCTTAGAAGTCCATGGTATATTCAAAACTCTTCTCCAGCACCACAGCTCAAAGGCATCAATTCTCCTTCGATCCTCCCTCATTGAGTTATTTTAATCTGTAGCCCCATCCCATCTGGTGGCTTACCCACCTTTCCAGAAGTGGCTCCAGCCATCCTTCATGGCACTCACAGTGGCAGTCTAGGAAGGTCAGCACATCGCCCTTGGCCACAGACGCCCCCAGCAGCCGGGCCCGCACCAGGCCTTCCCGCTTGTTGGCGCGGAGCAGGCGCACTTTGGGTAGGCTGGACAGCTCGGTGGCCAGGCGCTCCTTCAGATGCTCTGGGGAAGAACAACAGGGCACAAGCATTACCTCAACATCACGGCAGAGAACCTCATCCTCGGCCACATCCTCGCCTTCTGGAAAAGAAGGCCAAGTATTGTGTATGCCTCCTTTTCTCTGGCATTCCAGGTGCCCTGCATGGATAAGTATTCTGCTATGAACTGAAAGGCTAGAGGTTTGAATCTTTGCAGTCACACTTTGGAAGAAAGTTCTAGCAATGTACTTCCTAAAAAATTACAGCTTTTGAAAACTCCATAAAGCAAAGTTCTGCGCTGATATACATGGGTTCATCAGGAGTTAAAACTGACTCAGAAGCAACAGAGCTTTCTCTTTGGTTTTACCACCTGGCACGTCCTTTCCTTAACCACAGATAATGCTAGAGATCCTCTGAAGACTGGGACACATTTACAAAGGTACTGAATAAAGGTGGCTAGGGCTGAGAGGGTTCTAGAACTTCTCAACTTGGAAGATGAGGGACAGGAAAGACTCTTACTTCAACACCTCAAGAGTGAGAGCAAGTGATTCTCTTTAAGCCTTTTGATCCCCCAAAAAATACACAGTCTTTTATCCACAATTTGTATTACAGTAGTAATAATGCTAGCATAACTGCTCGCAAGGGCACACTACAGTTTACTCAGTACTGAGACAGGAGTGGCAGTGAACAACAGTCAAAGTCAACTGTCCACACTTTAGTCTGTTGTACTGTGGTGACTTGAGCATAAAGTCATACTAGAAGTTATGTTCCCAAGTATCAGCAGGGCAGCCTATAATGGCAGGATTATGGGAAGCTTCTAGAATAAGACAGACTAGAAAGAAAGACCTAGCAATCTAATTACGGAGAAAAAAAACGGCCAGTGAAAACTTTATTGTCAGTAGCACAGCAATGTTTTATGCCAGAAGATGAGACCATCAGATAGGAAGGTATTCAAAATACGACTGGGTAAGAGCTGCCCCCACTCCAACTAGCGGTGACTGTAATGATGGGCATTGAATAAAGCGTTAGAACCTTCCGTCGCTGATGTGGAGTGACTCGAAGTAAGAAGCAGCATCTATCAGTAAAGACACAGATAAACACCTGATGGTATAGAGCACAAAGCCAGGAAAATCAGAAATTGTCAAAAATGAAAGAGGGCACTTGAAGACTGGTTTAGTGGGTGATTTAGTGAGCGGAAATGGACCACTTCTGGTCGTCTCAAGTCAGACAAACATATGGTCTGCTATACTGAGAATGACAAGTTTGCATTTACTGTCTAAAAGAACATTTCAAGATCAACTCTGGAGTACAACGCTATCAGTGATAGGATAGTATCCATCCATCTATGACAGAGCTCTGGTGGCCTAGTGGTAGAAGCTGTGCTGTAATCCCAAAGTCAGTTAGTTCAAATTCACTAGATGCTCCTCAGAGAAGGACAGGCAATCTCCTCCTGTGTGATTTACTGCCTCTGAAAACCCACTGGGGATTCAGCTATAGGCTGGTTCCTACTCAACGGCACACAACAACGAGAACGATCAGCTAATACAACTATTACTCAAATTCAACAACTACTATTCATCAACTCCTAACTCCAAAAATGAAGAATTGAAGAATCTCAAGATTTTTTTTTGCCAATTTATGTAGTCTGAAATGGATCAAACATGCAATCAAGATGCACTGATACTTACTGGTGATTGAAATGTGAAAAGTAGAAACAAAGATCAGGAAAAAAGTATGACCTCCGTTAACAAAAGGACAGTAGAGATTGCAAGCTGGAATTGTGAGACATCAATAATGTAGTCATTGGAAATATCTGTTCTCATCAACATAAATAGCGACTGCATACATGGACCTCATCCGAGGGAATACATGGGAATAACTTAATTATATCTGTAGAAAGCGATGACAGAGCAGCTCAGTATCAATCAGATCAAGGCCAGGGCTCCCTGTGGAATGGTCATCAATTATACAACAGGAATCACATGTAATTTCAAGGTGAAGCTGAGGAAAACTTAATCAAGTTCATGAACGAGGAAGCAACATCACGATAAATAGAAAATACTGACATTACAAAGGATTTCATTTTAACTGGCTGCACTACCAAAGCCAATGTAAGCATCAATCAGTACATCAAACATTGTATTACACTACGCAAATTCAGCTACAAAAGACTTCCTGAAAGTGTTAAAAAAAAAAAATAAAGCAAAGTGTCATTTAGAGACCTATGGTGTGCCTGGCCCTTTCAATCACCCATATGCATGTAAAAACTGGACAATAAAGGAAATGAAATAACTGAAGCCTATGAGTTACCGTGTTTGTAAAAAATATCAAATCCATCCTGGGCTACCAGAAGACAGAACAAAACTATTTTGAAAGAAGTACAATCAGAACTTCCTAAAAAGAAGTGTGGCAAGACGTTGTCTCTTATCTTAGAACATGTTTTATCAGGAGGGATCAGTCCCTGGAGAGGGATAGCAGGCGTGACAAAGACCAGGAAAACGTAGAAAACCATCAATGAGACAAATAGGCAACACGGCTACGTGAACAGACCCAAAGACGGCTGTGACTGTGAGGGTGACACAGGCCAGACAGTGTTTCTGCTGTTCATAACCGACCTGACAGCAACTAACAACACAGTCCTGTCCGACGAGCTGCACAGTCCGTGTGGCACGGTGGTGAAAGCACTTAGCTGCTAACTGAAAGGTCGGTGGTCCAGCCGCAGGAGCAAAGATCCGTGATCTGCGCCAATAAAGACCCTAGCTTAGGAAAGGCCCTGGGACAGTTCTAACTACCCTCTAATGTCACTACGTATAGGAATCATCTGGATGGCATACAACAAGTTTAAGAGTAAACTGATTTTTATACAACTCACTTAAGCCTCATAATCCTATGAAGCTACTACAATCTCACTTTATAGATAAGGAAACAGGTCAGAGACGTTAAGGAACTTGCCCAGTATGACAGAGGAAGCAAGCTGAGTAAGGAGCAAGGGTTTAAACCCAGACATTCTGGCTCCAGAGTCCACAGGCTTTATTTACCACTGCCTCCCCCAGCTCTCCCATGCATTTTCTCATCCTTAGTAAATAGATTTTAAAAAACAAACAGGAGGACACGCTTATCCCATTTTGCAGATGAGGAAACAAGAACTAAAATATTTAAAGAATGTGCCACAGCCAGGGCAGCCTCCGCAGGCCCGGCTCCACGGGGCCTCTGGGCTGGAGTCCTACCTCTGTGGATGGTGAGGTGAAGGCAGTGAGTCAAGGGTGTTTCCCCACATCAGTGTGAGCTTAGTCTTCAAGTCTTCACCCAACAGTCAAAGGGAAATTACATACAGTGTCTTCTTGGGTTGCTTAATAGTTTGTGAAAATGTGTCCCTAAGTATCTTTAACAGTCATAAAACATAATATCTAAGTGGAATACAAAATTCATTGCCAGCGAATCTGAGCTGACTCACACCTGAGCCTCTCTGGGGTTTCTGAGGCTGTAAATCATTTTTGGTTTTTTTTCTCTCCTCTCAGTCACTGGTGGGTTTGAACCACCAGAGAGGCAGGGGCTTTGGGTTAATAGTGCAGCTCCCTGTGGACTGTGACACAAAGGCAAATACTGTATGATCCCACATCTGTGGAAAATGTACAACAGGGAAATTATAACGCAAAGAACAGTGGTAACAAGGGATTGGGGAGAGTAAGGGAATGAAGAGTAAAAGGAAATAAAGAATTATTGTTATTATAGACCATAGAGTCGGAACTGACCCCTAGCTGACCCTCTGGTGGGTTTTCACAGGCAGTTAATCAAACAGGAGGAGATTGCCTATCCTTCTCCTGTGGCCTCGAACCATGTGCCTCTGCAATTGCAGCACAGCTTCTTGCCACTAGGTCACCAGAGGTCTCTTAAAGATTATTACTGGATGAGTATTTGTTAAGAAATTAGGTGACAATCCTTTTCTGATTCATAAGCATGATGACTGGGTGTTCATGCTTCTATATGACATGTGCCACCATTGAAGCCTTGTTACAACACAGGTGCACTACCCATCTGACATGAAGGGGAAAAAAAGAAGTTAAATGACTGTGACAAAAAACTCTGCAGAAAAATTCCACCAAGAATTAGCAGGAGAAGTGGCATAAGCCAGCGGGCCAGCACAGCCCTGAGCTTTGTGAGTAGATGACAGTCCCAACAGTTGACAAATCAGAGCAAATTAGTGACTCTCCCTAAATCCTGACAGTAGACTGTGTCTTAACTAGTCTCAATCCATTTGATGTCTCTCCTATAAACACATGCAAGGAGTCCTGGTGGTGCAAGGGTTAAGAACTCAGTTGCTAATAAAAATCCAGTGTTTCTAATAATCTGCTCCCATAACAATGACCCAGGACCCCTGGGGACAATTCTACTCCATCATAGGAGGCTGTTATGAGTTCTTATCAGACTCAAGAACATACAACAGAGAATACAGACAAAAACACATAACAACATGTGTGCATGTTCACATATGCACGCACACACTCAACTGGCTAACTTCATTTGATCCTAAATATCATGATAAACAAGCTGATGGCAGGACTGGGGGGGTAACTCCTGAAGCTGAGTGTATTCACTGTGGTGATTTGTGCACACACACACACAGCCTCCCTGCGCCCCCGGATTCTGTTCATGGGGATCCGCCTGCCTGAGCTGCTTTCCACACATGGGAGGGGCTGACACCCCCCCTCCTGGAGCTCAGGATGACTCTGCAGGAAGAGCAGGACTTGGAGGCAGGACAGATCTTCTCAATCACAGGGTACGTGGGGCGTCCCACATGCTCCTATGTGTTCCCATAGGCATGACGGGAAGGCTCAGCCCCACAGCCTCTTCCTTTCATGAGAGACCTGAGCTGGGGGCCAGGAGGTCATACTTCACTTCCACCTGCTGCTCTTTGGTACCGTCAAGTCGGCTACAACTCACAGTGAGGCTGTGGACGAACAACTGGAAACGTGGCCGTCCCCAACCCCCACCGCACCCACTGCGCAGTCCAGTCCCTGTGTCCACTCATCGCGTTGGAGGTCTTCCTCTTTTACACTGATCCTCTCCTGCTGAGGACTTACTAAATCCCTCAAGATAAAATGGATAATCTGATCACTGTTTCTCAGTAACTACATCCAGGAACTATTTTTATCATAGTTTAGCTGTTTAATAAAGACAGACGGGAACACAGAGTGGGAGCTATACGCCAGATACTGACCTAACACATTACTCACCTTACAGTATTTTAATCTTTACTATGATCTACATGGCAGGAGCCATGACTGTCCCGTTATGCCGTGGGAGCTGAAGCCAAGGTTGAGACAGGTCAAAATACTTGCTCAACCCACTCTAAGTGCTGGAGCTGGAATTTAAGTCCATGCTGAATGACCCAGAACCGGTGCTTCTAGCAACCACTCTAAAGTGTTTTTGCACAGATACACTCAAACAAATCCATTCGTGAAGAAATGTTAAAAATAATTTTCGGCCAGCACCTACTTGGTGCCGGCTGTTGTCCAATGTTTACCGGATACACGCTGTCACTCGTGTCTCACTATGACTCTCTGAGACAGGTACAGATGCATCCACTTCTCAGGAAAGAAACAAAAGAGAAAGCAACCTGGGTTTAGGGTAAAGCTCCCCCTGGACCAGGTACTTTGACTTTAAAAACAAGTGCTCTCAAAGATTTACCACATCAATCCCTCGTGGGCTTAGCATACCATCTCAAAGACTGCTGGCCATCTCTTAAAGCTCACTCTCTTCAAATCTGAGCATATGGTCATCCAGGATAAGGATTACATTTCCTAGCTGTCTTGCAACTGGAGTGACCCCTTGACCAAGTTCTGCACAAAGGAACGTCAGAGAACTTTCCGGCAGTATCCTGAGATGGTTAAGGCTCTCCTCAACTTTAAACTTTTTCTGTTGACCTGGGTGAGCGGCTGGCAGAGAACCAATGTAGACCAGGCAGATCCAGTCTAGAGAAGGTGAGGCAGCAAAGTCAAAGGAGCCAGGGTAACCCTAACAGTCCTGAGCTCCCCTATCAGTCTAGACCTCTTAGGCCAGATGTGGGATGTGAGAGAGAAATCGTTTCTATCTTGTTTTTGACCCACTGCTGTTCTGAGTCTGCATGAGGGCAGCCAAACATAGACCCCCAGCAGTGACTGAGGCGCGGGCGCTGGGTCACAGCAGCTCCATGAGTGTCAGGGGAGACCTGTGCTCCACAGGGTTTTCAAGGACCGATTGTATGGAAGTCTATCACCAGGTGTTTCTTCTCTGGATCGACTTGAATCTCTGACATTTCCACTTGCAGTAGCTCATCCAGGGCCTTCATATGCTGGCTGGAGCACAGACGGCCCAAGTTTTGCAGACAGACAGCCGGCCTAATGCTGAGACAGCAGGTGCCCAGCAAGTAGGTGCCACTTTTCTTCGGGGTGGCCCGGGTAGTAATTTGGTTTGAAACAACCTCCAGCAACTAAGTTAGGCCCAGCTCAACCTGTGGTTACAGTCCAGACATCTCCCCTCAGGTAAACAAGGTGGCCCCCAGAGTCAGTCACCCCAGATTGATGGGTGCATTTCCTATTATTTCGCTGTCACTGCTAACACCAGCCTAAGCCATGTGTGTGGGCATCATGGTGGTCCCTGGACCTCACCCTGCTTCCAATCTCTTGTTTTTCATTGGTTTGCTTACAAAGTTTGTATACATTGTGGTCCACACTATTCTTCATTCACATTGCGTTTCATACAATTATTCATATACATTATGTTTTATAAAACTAATCCATCTTTACCCATCTCATCTCCCCAAAACACAGGCTATTCTCCACAGAGCAGCGAGATTGATCTTCAGACTGCTCCGCCTTCAGATGTCCTCTCATGGGCTCCATCAGATTCCGTTCATGGCTCAGCCCCTACTGTGGCCTCCAAGGCCCAACGTGACCTGTCCCTGCCCACCCTGTACTATCTCTGTTGCTGCTGGTGGAGCTCTGCTCTGGAGCCTGTCACACTGTGTGCGCTCTCTGCCCTGGAGCCTGTCACACTGTGTGCGCTCTCTGCCCTGGAGCCTGTCACACTGTGTGCGCTCTCTGCCCTGGAGACTGTCTGTCACACTGTGTGCGCTCTCTGCCCTGGAGCCTGTCACACTGTGTGCGCTCCCTGCCATGGAGACTGTCTGTCACACTGTGTGTGCTCTCTGCCCTGGAGCCTGTCACCCTGTGTCACTGTCTGCCCTGCAGACTGTCACACTGTGTGAACTCTCTGCCCTGGAGCCTGTCACACTGTGTGCACTCTCTGCCCTGAAGCCTGTCACACTGTGTCACTCTTTGCCCTGCAGACTGTCACACTGTGTGTGCTCTCTGCTTCTGTTCCAGCTGTTCCCTCACCTTGCTGGCTCTCCCCAAGATCTCTGTTTGCCAGTCTCCTTCTCAGCAATTACATCCTTAGCTTAAATTTATCCATTTAGAGAGGCTTTTTCAACCTTCGCCAACTAGTATAGTTCCTGTTCCCTAGTCTTCACTCTCTTTCTCACCTGCTCCCATATTCTTTCATAATACTTTCTACTTGTTGAAATATAAAATATAATAAAACATAAGGTAAGAGAGGACAATCAATCACTTGGGGCCCAGGCCAGAGTCTTCTAACGCTGCCTCCTCACTGCACCGCTCAGTCAGCCAGTCTTCAACCCTGCCGAAGTTACCTCCCCAACACCCACTTCTGCCAGGATCCTCTGCCACCTGGCCATATCAGCAGCCACTGGCTTCCCCAGCCAGCTCCACACATGAGCTTGTGCACCACTCTCCACACACCAACCTGTCCATCACTCTTTCTAAAGAATAAAACCCTCCTTGGCTCTCCTAGTCTTAGAATAAAATCCAAACTCCTCATGCTAGTATCAAAGACCTGCCCGCTTCTGCACCCACCCAGTCTTGTCTTGAGCCACCTACCAGTGCAAACAAGCCATATGGTTTTGTTCCACCAAGCCTCTTCACATTTGATACCTTTCATGTGAGATGCTCTCCCTCAATCTTTCCTGCCCAGAAAATTCTCCAACCTTCCACAGAGAAGCCAATTATCACCTCCTCTGTGAAGTCCTCCTGACTACCAGGCAGAGTCAGTCCCTCTCCTGTGTCCCCTGGAGCACTGAGTAACAGAACCCTGGTCATCATATCTGCGCCCCCATCAGACCCTGAGTTCTACCAAAGAGGTATTCTCATCTGCTCGTCCTCAGAGCCAAGCACAGAGGGATGCAAGAAGTCTGTCTTTACCAGGCTTCTCCTGCCCCTCCCGTGTCACCATCTCACCTCATCATCATCCCCAAGGAGGGAAGGGCTCTTACGAGAACTCATGTTGGGGACTTACCTCTATCACTGTAGTCATCAACAAGGATGACTTCCTCCAGAAGCATGTCCGGTGACGTCTCAAGGACACTGTAAACTGTCCGCAGGAGAGTTGACCAGGCTTCATTATAAAAGGCTATGATTACAGATGTAGTGGGAAATTTATCATAATTCTCATACTTCTTCTCCATGCACCTGCAAATACAGCACAGCTTCAGAAATCAAGAACTATTTTCCCATTCATGAAGGAACAGATGAACAATGGAGCGTACATACAGGGGAATATTGCCCAACAAGAAGTAATGATGAATCTGTGAAACACCTTATAACACAGGTAAGCTGGAGGCCATCATACAAAGAGTGAAAGTAATCAGGGGAAAGGGGCAAGTACTATATTAGAGGGAGCAGTGTCCTAGAGGTAAGAGACTGCACTGCCATCCCAAAGGTGTGCGGTTCGAATCCACCAATTACTCTGTAGAAGGATGGGCAATTACCTCCTGCCTCTCAAAACCTGCTGGAGGGTCAGTCAGCTATGAGTTGGTTCCAATTCGATGGCACATGACAACAACCACCATAAAAAGTAATAAAAGAAGGGTAACTAGAAAACCCAGAAGAATGACTGTTGACTGTTCAGCAGGTCCAGGCTGGCCCTGAGGACGGACCAAGGTGGGGTCAGTGGCCACAGGAGAGAACAGCCCATCCAAGGCCATGAATCATGATGGACACAGACTGTCCCATCTTTATCCTGAGCTGGGCTCAAAACATCAAGCTGTTAGCAGCTTGTGTTTTAAACACTGTGCCACCAGGAGTCCTCCACATCAAAATCGCCAACAGAAAAGAATGATGATGGGGAGAGCCAAAAACCATAAACAGACTTCATTTCGCATCCTCTCGGCACGTCAGGAGGGGTGATGACTTGGCAAAGGACATCGTGCTTAGAAAAGAGGAGAGTCAGAACAAGTGAGGCCGACCCTCAATGAGAGGGACTGACAGGGTGACAGCAGTGACGGGTGGGGCACAGCCACAGTGAAGAGGGCGTGGATTGGGCAGGGCTCGTTCTGTTGTGGTGTCATCCTGGGTCTGCCCTGAGCTGGCTGCTCTCACTCGGTTACAGTGCGGGAACATCACTGCACTCGACAGAAACAGGATGTCACAGCATCGCTGTATCCGACTTTCGCTGAGAACAAGTGCATTAAGTGACTCTAATTCTTCCCTACTCTCTGCATGCGTCTTCCAAAGACTGCAAAAACACTGAGAACATTTATTTGGGGGCTGCCAATGGCCTAGTGGTAAAAAAACTACATTGCAATCTCTCTCAAAGGCTACCCTATTCAAATCCACCAGACGCTCCACCGGTGAAGGATGGGCAATCTCCTCCTGTGCAAATTACTGCCTCTGGAAACCTGCGGAGGGGCCAGCTATGAGTCAGTTCCAGCTCAATGGCACACAACTATAACCACAAGACGAATTCATGAAAGCAGAATGCATGAGTGATGAGGATGGAGTGTGTCCCCTGACAACTATCTGTACCACACAGGCAACAGGCCAGGCCCCAGCTCCCACAGAGGCTACATTCTTAGGGAGGGTTGTTGTTGTTAGGTGCCTTCCAGTCAAGTATGACTCGTGACGACCCTATGAACAACAGATCTGACTCCTCAACTATCCCGTGCCATTCTCACAATCTCTGACACATTCGAACCCACTGCGGTAGCCACTGTGTCAATCCACCTGGTTGAGGGTTTCCGCTCCTTCACCAACCCCTGCACCTTTCCAAACACGATGTCCTTCTCCAAGGAATAGCCTCTCCTAGCAACGTGCCCAAAGTATGTGAGACAAAGCTTTACCATACTTGCCTCTAAGGAGCACTTTGGCTGCACATTCCAAAACATATCTGTTTGTTCTTTTAGCAGTCCATGGGATATTTCATAATCATCTCCAACACCACACTTCAATGGTATCAACTTTTCAGTAGTGGTATCCACTTCCTAAATAACATGCCTCTGGAAACTCTATGAACTTGGATAAATGTCAATAGTTGTAGAGGGGCTTTAAGGCCTTTTGTTTATAGTGTCACTATGAGTCGTGCTCGACTCAAAGGCAATCAACAACAACAACAACAACATCCTTATTCACTGTCCAGCTCTCAGCACCACAGCAAGTAATTGAAAAGACCATGGTCTAAATCAGGCACACCTTAGTTCTTAAATTAACATCATTGCTCCTCAGTAATTTGGAAAGGTTCCTGAAGAAGAGCTGCAAAGAATGAATATGTAAATAAACAAATGGATCAGAATTTGTTAGTATTTGGGAACTGTGAAGAAAGTAAAAGAGGATGATGAAGGGTGAATAACTCCACAGGGGAGGAGAAAGAACCCCTGAGCAGGGAACCAGGGCCTCTTTGAGGAAGTGATGCTTGGGATACCATCAGAGAATGATGAGGGATTCAGCCCCACAAAAATCCAGGAAAGTGCCTCTTGTGTGTATAACTTTATTTCTTCAGATGAAAAAAAAATTACTATGAAATCAAACATCCAGGAAGCAGAGTGAATAATCACTCAGCTTTATACAGTCAATCTTGGTTCATCTCTGTCCTCACCCACTTGAACAATCCTGGATTAATTTCAGCAAATCCAACAAGCATAGCGCACCATCTATAAATGTGGTTCTGGCCACGTGGGCTGCCCTCTCTTGCTGCAGCTCTGGTAAACCCAGTCTCTCCAGCCTTTCAGTGCTCTGAGCTTCCAACATCCTGCTCATGCATTCCTTTCTGCCTATATCAACCAGTCTGTTTTGACTGTGGACCTGAGAATTGTGACCCACATATATCCTGGCTGTCTTCCAGCATTCACTGTCTTTCCCAGCAACTTACTTGAGGGGTAATTTGCAACATGGGCGTGGCCACTGCACTCCCACTGAAAATCCCTCCCATGATGAAATCTAAACCTCCAGTGTGGGTTATAAGGAACAGGCATCCGCTCATATCTCTAATCTCTGCTGTGTTGGTTTTAAAATTTCAAATTCTTGACACCGTTCCCATCAAAAGGCAGAGCTCGGTTCTCCTCCTCTGAATGTAGGTTAGATTTAATGATTCACCTCTAGCAAACAGAATGTGGTCAAGTGACATTGAGGGGTGTGTGGGGGTTTTGACCCAGTAGCTGCAGCAATGGGATCAGGTACATCAGAGAAGGTGAGGATGGTATAGGGCAGGACAGGGTTCAGATCTGCTCATAAGTCACTAGGTCAGACTCAACTCAACAGCACTTAACAACAACACATCTAGACAGACACTCAACCAGATGGATTGACACAGTGACTGCAGCAAAGGGCTCACGTATGACAGAGATGGTGAGGATGGCACAGGATAGGACAGGGTTCGGATCTGTTATTGATAGGGTTGCTATGAGGCTCAACTAGACTAAACGATAATTAATAACAACAACAGGAGTTGCTTGCTCTGGGGAAATCCAGCCACTATGCTGTAAAGATACTCAAGTAGCTCCTTGACGGAAATCATGTGTGAGGAAATAAGGCCGCTTACAAACAGCCAGTACAAACCTCTAAACACGTGAGCCATTTTGGAAACAGAACACCAGCCCCAGTCACACCTTCTGATGGCACAAGTCTTGGTCAGAATTTGACTGTGATCTCAGAAGTGACTGCCACACCAAAGCAATCTAACTTAACCATTCCTAACTTCACGATATAAGAAATGTTTTTATTGTTGTTCCGTGCCTTCAAGTCAGATCTGACTCATAGTTGATCCTCCTGTATGCTTTTCAGAGGCTGTAAATCACATAGGAAGAGACTGCCCATTTTTCTCCCACAGAGCAGCTAGTGGACTTGAACTACATATCCTGGGTTGTGTCAGGGTTGTAGCCTCTCTCCTTATCTATTTAATCTGTATGCTGAACAAACATCGAGAAACTGGACTCTATGAAGAAGAATGGAGCATCAGGATCTGAGGAGACTCATGGACAAACCTGCTTTATACAAATGACACAACATCACCTGCTGAAAGTGAAGATTTGAAGTGTTTGCTGCACAAGGTCAAAGAAGACAGTCTTTAATATGGAGTACATCTCAACAGCAAGAAAACAAAAATTCTTGCCACTGGACCAACAGACAACATCTTGATAGATGGAGAAAAGACTGAAATTGTTAATGATTTTATCCACAATCAAAACTCTTGGTACCAGAAGGCAAGAGATCAAGAGATGTATCGCTTTGGGCAAGTCTTCCGTCAGAGATTTCTCAAAAAATACTTTTAAGCTGTGATGTCAGTTTTTTTTTGGGGGGGGGACGTTTGTCTGATTCAGGTTATAGTCTTTTCAGTCACTTGCTATGCATCTGAGAGCTGGACACTGAATAAGGATGACTGAGAAGAACTGACGCCCTTAAACTGTGGGGCTGGAGAAGAGTACTTGAGTGGACTGCCGAAAGAATAAGCCTTGGTCAAAGTACAGCCAGAGTGCTCCTTGGAGGCAAAGATGACAAAGCTTCGTCTCACATACTTTGGGCATGTTGTTGTTGGGGGGTTATTCTCTGGAGAGGGACATCAGGCTTTGGAAGGTGGAGGGTCAGTGAAAGAGAGGAAAACCTTCAATGCACTGACTGCTGCGATGAGACGAAGTATGTCAGAAATGATGAGGATGGCATCAGATAGGGCAGGGTTCGGATCTGTTGCTCACAGGTCGCTGAGTCATACTCAGCTCGATGACACCTGGCATGAGCATTATCCTGTGTTGGCAGCACAACTCCTTGATAAAAGCAAGAGTGTGAAATGATGTTTACTGGACTCATCACTATCAAGCCAGAACTCATAGCTAATCCTTCAGGGGTGTTTGGGGAAACTATAAATCACCTGGTTGGGGAGTGACCATCTTTGTCTCTAACAGTCACTGGTGAATGTGAACAGCCAGTGAGTATGGCCTTTGGGTCAGAACGTCAAATTCCTACAGAAGACACATTAGAGAGTCCTATGGGGCAGTTCTACCCTGGGACATGAGTCACACAAGTCAAAACAGCCTCAACAGCATCAAAGGGCAACAACGGAGAACCTTTTAATCAGAGACACCTTCAAGGAAGCTAGGGGTAAAAGAAAACTTCTTTACAGTATTATTTATGACACACAAAAGCTGCCTAACAGGAAAGAAATGCAAATAAATTAGTCCACAGTATCTCACAACAATAACAAG